ATATTCTTGCTTACTAATCAAAACTTTCTAATAAATCAATACATTTTCCTGGATCAGATTTCCTGTGTAAACTTTGTAAACTCGGACGATTTATTAGGTCCCACCTTTGTGGATTTGTCGGGGAAATCTGTAGTAAAATTCCGTAGTACTGCTACGAAGTTTTTGCTAACGTATCTTTTTTATTTTTTTGTTTCAAGAATATCCAAAGCCAAAATTTCACTATAATCCCTATCTAAAACCAAACACCGTCATCCATCATTTCAAACTAAGCCTCTGACTGCCCTCCTCAACTTTTCGCGCAGCACAGCAAAACGAGACTCGACATGAACCAGTTCACCCTCGTCGCCGTGACCGCCGTGCTGGTGGCGATCTACCACAACTACTTCGCGCCGCAGCCCACAGTATGGGTGGCACCCTCACAGCTCAAGCTTACATATTTTGCTGGGCCCGGCCGCGCTGAGCTGTCGCGCCTGATCTTATCCGCCGGTAATGTGTCATTCGAAGACGAGCGTCTGGACCGTGATGCGTTCTTGGCGATTAAGCCCACTCTGCCGCTCGGCCAGGTTCCGGTGCTCGAGGTGGACGGCACCACATATAGCCAGAGTATGGCCATCGCTCGCTATGCCGCCAAACTCACGGGCCTGTATCCGCAGGACCCACTCGAGTGTCTGCGCGTGGATATGGTGTCCGAGTCACTCATTGACGTCAAGACGCTTATCTCGGAGATCACTTACCGCACGCCGGACGAGGCTGCCAAGACCGAGAAAAGCAAGAAGTTGCTAGAGGAAAGCGTACCCAAGACGCTCAAGTTGCTCGAAGGATTCATCCAGAAGGGGCCCTTCTTCTTGAACGACAAGATGACGTACGCAGATCTGCAGGTCTACGACCTGACCAAGAATGGACTCAGCAGCTTCGCGGGCTTTTCGTTGAGCAAGTACCCGAAGCTCGCAAAGCTCGTGGGCAATGTGGAGTCGACTCCCAACGTGGCGGCTTATCTGGCTAAGCACCAGAAATAAGGGAAAGAATAGGAGGTGGAGACGTATCTGCTTGGAATAAATTTGCTCGTCACTGACAAGCAAAATTGACAAGTTGTCAGGCGCTGGCCTGTAGTGTACGTGTCAACTTTCGTGGTTGTACCGTAAATTACGACCCGTAATTTACCTTTGAAAATAATGATACAGATTACGCATCACATACTGTAAGTAGTACCGTAAGCGACGGTTCGAATGCGTTACGCAATCGTGTCTCGGACGCGTTGACGATGCTGCTGCTGCTGCTTCATCACCGGACTGCGGCACTCACATGAGGTCATTTGCGAATTCGCTCCACTCCACTCAAAACCACTCCCAAGCTTCAACCTACCACCATGGCCCAACCTCAGCTCAAGCTCTCCTACTTCGACGGCAAGGGCCGCGCCGAGCTCTCGCGCATGATCTTCAACTACGGAGGCATCGCCTTCACGGACGACCGTATCGCGCGCCCTGACTTCGTGGCGCTAAAGCCGACGCTGCCCTTCGGCCAGGTGCCCGTCCTCGAGCTGGATGGCACGGTCTATGCCCAGAGCATGGCTATTGCTCGCTATGCCGCCAAGCTCGCTGGCCTGTACCCGAGCGACGCGGTCGAGGCTCTGAAGGCTGACGTGTTCTCGTGCTCGCTGGGCGACCTCGAGGGCCCCTTCATTGATTTCATGTTCAAGACGCCGGATGAGGCCGAGAAGACCCAGAAGAAGAAGGTCTTTATCGAAGAGACAGTGCCCAAGTTTTTCGCCACGCTCGAGAAGATGGTGGCGGGCAAGTTCATCCTGGGGGACGAGCTGTCGTACGCCGACTTGCAGTTCCTCGATATGGTAGACAACAAGCTCATGTGGGCGTTCCCAGATTTCAAGGTGGAAAGCTTTCCCAAGCTCTCCGCGCTGCTGAGCAATGTCAAGGCGGAGTCCAAGATCGCCGCCTACCTGTCGAAGCAGTAAATTCACCGTAGCGGCCACGGATTAGCCCCCC